AAGCTCAAAGTCTCTTTCTTTTCTTCCTTTACTGAAAAGAGTGGGTGATCTCAGTGTAATCTTTTGGCTTTCTTGATTTTTAGGCTTTCTCTTGTTTCATGGTTTCTTTCTCTTTGCTATTTCTTTATTAGTGTTAATATTTGATGAGGGTTGACACAACTGAAGACACTTGGCACTCCTTACACTTACATAACTTGTACCAGTCCCATTTTAATCCTTGAGTGAAGGAAAAGGCCTTTTCTGCGTTTGACAGTTTGGTTACTTACAGCTCTGTACAGGCAAAGAGAACTTTTTAATTTGTGCAGGAGAAGAGAGAATGGGAAAAGTAACTAGAATAAAATTCATCATTATTAAGTGTAAATCAATGATTTCCTTGGAGGAGCTGTATAGATGGAAGTGATCCATAGAGAAAAGGTTCTGTCAAGAGTTACACTGTTGTGCTGCAAGATGGGCTTTCAGCGTTTTATGTTTCTGTTGTCCTGTTACAGAACGACAAAATTATTGTTGCCTGTACTTATAGTGCAACATATCTAGGTCGCAACTGGGTAGTACAGATTAATAAAGAGGTTTGTTACAAAACTATCTTCAAAGCAGGCCTCAGCAGGCCTCCATTTTTTCATTCTATTTTCATTTATAAAAGTTAACCTTACATTAAAAAGGGAAAATGTATAAAGTGCATTTGTATATATTTTGAGTGACTTTTAAAAGTGAATTAAATATTTTGTTCTGCCTCATATCTAATCATGTGGAGGAGTTTTATAAGTACATCTTCTTTGGGTGGGGATTAACGTTACTATTTCTGGAGCTCTGTCATAGGTGACTTTACCTGATACAAGAGCAGGGCATCTGCGTTGAACCAGTTTTGATACAGCATGCACTTTCAAAAAAGCTAATAGAAAACCTGCAGTATTAAGGTTCTGATAGAATGTTGTTTAAAAAAAAAAAAAAAGTGTTTACAGACCAAGCATACTAAATAAGGGCATGCATAGCAGAATCCAAAGGCTGCCTTTTCTGCTTATGCCACCCATGTAGCTTTTGTTCATCTGATTTTTGGAGCTAGCAGTTTATACTATTGTATTTCTGGAGAATTGACAGTACTAATCTGTTTTATCAGCATTATTTTAGAGATGTGATTTTTGCATATGTGTAGCAAATCACATTGTATTCTGCAGTTCTGAATATAAAAAGTGTTCTTTTGTTGCTATTTAAATGTATAGCTTAGTAGCAAAAAAAAAAAAAAAAGCTTGGACATGAGATAATAGGTCCGATAAGAGAATTAATTAATTGATAGTATTTCAACTGATTATTGCATCAGTTGTACTGAACAAATTGATTCTAAACAATGCAGCATCTTATTATTTCCCGTCTTTGCAGTATGTTTTGATGATTGTTTATATAAGGGTTTTCCAGCAAATTCACAATTGTTCACAATTGTTGCCTGTTCCCTCCCACTCCCTTCCCCCCCGCCAAAAATAAACTTCTCCTCCCCGCTGTACAGCTGTACAGTATAATCTGACTCCTCAACTAGTTGATATTTCAGAAACTGCATAAAGAGAAAGCTGCAGGAATTGTGAGAGCAGTCTGTCCCCTGGAAAGGGGATAGAAAGTTCTTTGGATTAGTCTCCTTTCCCTCTATCCTGTAGTATTTGCCGAAGGAGCTTGCTCCGTTAAAACTTCCGTTAAATTTGTACAGGCATGTTTTACATTCTTCCTCCTCCCCCTCATCTTTCCATGTACAGCCTGCCATATGCTGCTCCAGGCCAACGAGATCCTCATCCTTACTAGTATGTCAGTGTTCTGTGAGAGCAGTAAATATGCCTTGGTTTGGGGGTCTCTTATTATCAGCACATTATGCCTGCAGAGTTGTAGTCTGATTCTGCAGATCTCCCCCATTTATGTTTGTGTCTGCACTGGCTTAGAATTCTAAGACAGGGAGTGGGGAACCCATGTTTATGATTAGGAATGTGCGTAAATGATTTTTGTTATATATTTTTGTATATATGCCTATGCAAATTGTTTGTTTTTCATTATCAGCTTCCTAATTAATCTAAAACAACTGCTTGGGATAAAATAATTGTGTTTCACATTGGACATGTAAGACATTGTTCATGAACAGGACTCTATGGAAATGCGGATTCTGGCCTCACCACTCCTTGCTTTGTCTATGGATAACAGTTATAGTTTGATAATGACTGAAAATGCTGTTGTCTTGGAATAAAGCCTTGGTATGACAAAGTGTCAGGCTTTTTTAT